TGTTCAGTTTTGGGCCCCTCACTACGGGAAAGACGTTGTGTGGCTGGAGCATGTCCAGAGGAGAGCCACAAAGCTGGTGAGGGGTCTGGAACACAGGGGTGATGAGCGGCTGAGGGAACTGGGGTTGTTTAGCCTGGAGAAGAGGAGGCTGAGGGGAGACCTTCTCGCCCTCTATAACTGCCTGACAGGAGGCTGTAGCGAGGTGGGGGTCGGCCTCTTCTCCCTGGTAACAGACGAAAGGATGAGGGGAAATGGTCTGAAGTTGCGCCAGGGCAGGTTTAGATTGGACATTAGAAAAAATTTCTTTACTGAAAGGGTTATCAAGCATTGGAATGGGCTGCCCAGGGAAGTGGTGGAGTCCCCATCCCTGGGTGTATTTAAAAGACGGGTAGATGTGGTGCTTAGGTATGTGGTTTAGTGGTGGGTTTGGTAGTGCTAGGTTAATGGTCAGACTCAATCTTAAAGATCTTTTCCAACCTAAACAATTCTATGATTCCAAGGTGATTTGGGCTCATGTTTTTAGCTAATTTCTCAAAGGGGTTAGAATGAATTTTGTTCTCCTTCAGCTAAAAGTTCACATGCATCATCAATTGCATTTTCGTCTGGGCACACTCAGGAATGCTGGTTGTTTCTATGGTCCAGACTACATTTAAGCATAATTGGCATGCAGTAGCAGGCTTTGAAGCAATGTTGCTGTTACTGCAGTGACAGGGTGAGAGGCTTAATGGTCATTTGAACAGTGACGTATTTTAAGTGAGCTTGGAACCAGAACTGAAAACTTGAGCCAGTGGTTGACTGGTAAGAAAATAACCTGACATCTTCAAGGAGCTTCAGCAAGTTAGTGCCATTTGAAATACGATGTATTAAGAAGCATCTTGCTTTTTTTTTTTTTTTTTTTTTTTTTGCATAATTTTAAGCACAAGAATGCAATTCTCTCCATATTCTTATGAATGTGTTCATTAGGTCCCCTGGGAGGAGGGTAGGGCAGGCACCAAGGTCATGGCTAGTTTGCAGGGAGCAGCATGCCCTCTGCAGAGTGTCATCTCTGGGTGGCAGCCTGGAAACTGGATCTTGAAAAAATCTTACCTTCTTTGACAGTACTTACTGTAGCAGCATTGCTGGGCTGGATAGCACGGTTTTCAGTGCAGCTTTTGCAAGCCCAGCCATGGCCTCAACTGTGTACTTGGCTGAAGCTGTTAAATATCATAGCAATTGTGCTGTATAATATGCGGCTCTTTTTGGTTATAAGCCGACTCTGACGTGCCTACAAGAGTCGTGATCCAAAGGATGACTTTGCCGTAGCCATGTACTCCCCAGTGACTGAGCTTAG